ATGAGGAGCCCCCAAAATAATATAGGTAATTATTCAGGCGCTTATGTTAGGTTTTGGGGCCCCCTATACTATAACTATCAAGCCCTACTATAGGAGCCTCAAGAAGTAACATAGGGCTTTGGGGTCCTTTAAAGGGTTCCTTAAAGGGTTCTATAAGGTAACATAGGGCTTTGGGGTCCTTTAAAGGGTTCCTTAAAGGGTTCTATAAGGGCTACTATCAGGGCTTAGGGTTATAGGGGCCTCAATAATTAACATAGGGTTTTGGGGGCCCTTATACTATAATTATAATAAGGAGCCCCCAAAATAGTACAGGTAATTATTTAGGCCCCGACATTACGCCCACAGCCTGACAGGCCTCAGAGGTTTAGGGCTTAGGGGTTTAGGAGTTTAGGGGTTTAGGGGCTTAGGGTTTAGGGTTTGGGGCTTAGGGGTTTAGGATGCCATCTCCTGCCCCATGGCATCCCTCCAACCTTGAACCTACACCTCATAGATGGATGCGAGGATCCCGCCGCTAGAGATGTAAAGTCGTTGAGTTTAGACCCTACCCAAAGCCCCAAGCCACTCTGTAACTCTGTTCTTCATGGCATGTACTGAGAAATCATGGGTACTACGGAAACCTAGAAACGTAGGTGTTCAGCGTACAGCGAACCATGCCTTTGCTGATCCTCCCCCCTTAGAATACCCCATGGTAACCTTTCAGAAAGCCCCAATCTACACCGCAAAATCCCCACACCCTCAGAGTATCAGGCTAAGCCCTAGCATCCCTACACCCCAAACCATGTCTCTGCTCCCAAGTATTACCCTAAACCCTAAACCCTAAACCCCTAAACCCTAAACCCTGTACCCCTAAAGCCAAGTATCATCCCAAAGGAGAGTTGTCGATTTCCTTCGCTTTTCCAGGGGAAGAGGTGAGAGGCACCGCTCCGCGCCAGGGCTCGGACCTGACTGCTGCTTTTCGGATTTAGGGTTTAGGGTTTAGGGGTGAGGGTACGGCAGGCTTTGTTGGGGTTTGGGGCTTCAGGGTTTAGGGTTCAAGGTTTAGGGTTGAAGGTTTAGGGGTTTTTGGTTCAGGGTTGAAGGTTTAGGGTTTAGGCCTTCAGGTTTAGGGTCTAGGGTTTTTGTGAAGTTCCTTTCTGAGAATATCCGGGCTTCAGGAGGTTTCTGAAAGTGCCTCAAGGGCATCATAGGCTACCCTACACCCGCATGAAAGCCAGAAAGCCAGAAGCCCTGAACCTGAAACCCTGCAACTCTAGGTTAACCCTGAACCACAAGGGTTCTGAAAGAACCTTTCAGGACCTACCTCACACCCTTTGATGCACTAAGCTGCAGTCTCACTCAACGTACAGCCAGAGGACCGGAAACCTCTACAGAATAATACATTATGGACCTTGAATGCTACACTCCGTGAAGTCTTTAGGGGTTTAAGTTTTAAAGGTTTACGGGTTTACGGGCTAACCAGTAGCTGGGTTTAGGATTTTGGGCTACTTAAAGCACCGTCCGTTCTCAATGTTAAATGACTCCCTAAACCCTAAACCCTAAACTCAATGCTGCCAATCCACCAGCAGCGAGTCCAGCGACCAATGTTTCAAGAACTCCTCGGCCACGTCGTCTGGACTCAGGTTGGACAGCGTCTCCTCGAATCCAAGGCTTTCAAAGTGCCTTCCCCTGAAGCCTCCTTTGAAGAAAGCCGTAAACCTGAAGACTCCCCTGCAACCCTTTAAGAGCACAGATGGAGATAGAGCCCTTAACTTAAGGAGAACCCTGGAGAAATCTCCCCTTTCAAGCCCTCGCACCTGAAATGCCCCCAATGGTGTCCAGCCCTCACCAGCCAAATTGAAACCTTTCAGACCCCATGTGACGGAGGCGCTGTGTCGCTCCCATGAAAGTGGGGTGTTACCATGAAGCGAGGGGGTTGGAGGCGGGAGACCCGTGGATGCTGGCACATAGATGAACCGCTATGAAAATGCCCAACAACCTTTGAAAACCCTTAGAAAACCCTGAAGAAAAACGGCCCCTTTCAAGAAGAGAAATCTGCCGTCCTCCTGCAGCGTGATGTACGCCGAGCGCGCAACTAAGGGCCTTGGCGTCGCCCGGCCTCCATGCAAGAGCTGCCAGTGCACCTCCAGGTTAAAGGGCTATGGAGCTATGGGTTTTGCAGGGTGACACAGGGTGCTATAACATGCTTTGATTATTGGGGGTATGGTTCAAGATCTTTCTGGGTTACTGTAGGGTTCTATACGACATGAATAGAAAGAAATACTGGTGAGCCTCCGTGCTTTGTGGGGTTCCGGGCAGGGTTTGTCAATTTGCTTTCACCTCGGACCTCCGGCGTAGCGATTTCATTGCCCTATTTAGGCTAGTTAGGGTTCTATAGGGTTTATGCAAGATATGACAGCAGGGGCAAGCTCCCGTTTTAGTGATTTAAGAGTCCGTAAGATTTCAATCCTTAGGGCTCCTAGTGCCTTTATGGCTCTGTAGGGCTTCAGGGCTCAAGGCATAAGGGTTTTATTGCTTAGGGCTTAGGGCGCTAGAGTTTTGTATACGGTCAGGCGCATGTCCTCTAAGAGTCACGGTGTTGGCGGCGATTCAACTAAGTAACGAAAAGCAATGACATAGTCAGCCTGACTGATGCAATTCATGATGTCCTCGACAACAACCACCTGTGGATGAGTGGTTGATCAGCTTGTGGATCTTTTCCACACCGTCCACTTGACTCGGAACCATTGAGTTCGGCTCAGACGCCAGGAGTTTGGGACTTCGATCTTGTCGCCTTCCGTGCTCACAATGCAGCCTGTGGGAGTTGAGGGCCTAATTGGGACCTGTAGGACTTGTTTAGTGTTCCGAGTGGCTCAGGGTTTCGGATCGGCCATGTGTGATTTGGGGCTTAAAGGGTTTCGGATTAAAGGTTTGTTGCTACACCGGAAGATTAGCCACTGAACGGCCTTAACACGAAAGCCCGGTAAACCCTGTAGAGTAGAACGCCAGAACATGGGACGTGGCAAAAGTGCATTCATGCTTGGTGTCACTGGTACACGCTTGGGGCAAGACTTGAAGACGAGTTCAAAGCCTTGAAGCCCAAACCTAGATCTCCATTCCACAGCCCAGTTTGGGGAATTGGCTATAGTTTCCATTGTAGTTCTTCTGTCGGGCTGCCTTATGCAAATCCGAAATATAAACTTTGCCAAACCACACAGAAGAACTACAAGTGCGACCTTACTTAGGTCAACCACAGCCAACTTAAAGCCGGCGGTCAGACACATAAAGCACCAAGGAACTCTGGAAAGCCATGGCAAACCGATGACAGGCGCCTGCTTCCCCGACTTCCGCAGTGGTGGCGGTGCTGGAGGCGTGCTGAAGCCTCGGCAATCCTAAACCCTAAACTCTGAACCCTAGACCCTGTATGGAGTTTCCGAGAATAGGGGACCCTAATATAGTACCCTAAATAATAGGATCCCTATTATAAGGACCCCAAAATAAGGTACCCTAATTTTCTGAAACTCCCATATAAGCCTTAAGCCGGCCCTAAACCGTAAACCCTAACTCGGCACTTGCAGGGATTTCGGCCCAGCAGGGACAGGGTTCCTTTTAAGGGTGCTTTAGGGTTTAGGGTTCCTTCAAGGCTACTATAGGGTTTAGGGTTCTCGGGGAAATGGTTTGAGAGTTTGGGCTTCGGGCTTTGGGATGTAGGAGCTTTTCCAATAACCTTCAGTCTGGTCTCGGGGTCCCGTTTTGGGTCCCCCAAATAGTACAGCACCCTTAAAAAATAACCCTAATTTAGAGAACTGCCCCTTTTATTGCGAAAATGACGAAACCCTCTTCATCGAATCATAAAGACTAACCCTAAACCCTAAACCCTAAACCCTAGACCCTAAACCCTTGCCAGGATGCTGGGGCGATCTGGCCGCTCAAGCGACGCCTCTCCAGCAGGTTAGACCCAGATCTTCCAAGATCCATGTCTTAGGGTACATATACCTTTTAGAGCATGGTAAGGATCATTATCCCTTTATGAAGGGAATATACCGTAAAGCATAGTAGTAGGGGCCTTCATAATCCTTTTGGGGCTTCCTATACTATGAGTATACGACAAAGGGCCGCAAAACCCTATTCCAATTATTAAGGCCTCTACATAAGGCAGTCGGGTTTTGGATCTCACTGCGGATCAAGGCACTAGTTCCTTCTTCTGAAGAATCCCACAAGCCGACTTGGGGGGAGGGGGTTCAGAAAGGCTTTCTACGGGGTCATGGGATCCCTAAACCCTAAACCCTATACCCTGGGTTGCAAGAGCTTGCAGATGATGAGATCCGGGGTAGGGTTTCAATGACTGGAGTGCGACATCCTCGCGTCCCGCTCCATATCTTCGAGCGGCATTTGCGGTGAGTCCGGGGCCGATAATCTAGTGTAGGGCCTCAATAATTAGAATAGGGTTTTGGGAGTTCCTTATTATGGTTATAGTATAGCATACCCCAAACCCTATTCTGATTATTCAGGCCCCTATAGTAAGGGAAGCTGGTGGTACAACATTCAGAGGGTGTCGTCGGAGGATTCGGTCCTGAGGCTACAATGCAGGACACCCGATTCCAAAAAATTCCCATGGGAAGCCCACAACTGTTGGACTAGAACCTGAATCAGTAGAATAGGGTGTTGGGGTGTGATCGGACCAGAATAGGGTGTTGGGGTATATCAAACTATAATGAGGAACCCCTGAAGTAGTACTAGCTATTCACGCTTCTGCATTGAATCCTTCAGCCCGATACCTCGAAACGAATGCTTGAGCTCCAAGCCCACAGGCCAAATCACCCCAGGGACTCCCTGAATCACAAATTGGACCGCAAGTTCTAGTCAGGACACTTGCATGTTTTGTATATTCCTTGTTAGAAGTTCTGGGAGTTTCTGGAATGTCTCAACCCTATATGAAGCCCATGCCGCCTTAACTCCTCACAGCTCTAAGCCGACTGGACACCACCCTAAACCCCAAACCCCTAAACCCTACGGCGTGCATTTATTCTCAAGGAGCCCAATTGGCGTTTACCTGAACCTGCCAAATCCTACTTTCTCGTAGGTCCCTATAACGCTTATGCTAGGGGTTTCTATATTAGGACGCTACCACAAAAAGATCGGTTATGCTAGGCTGAGATAGGCTGTAGCAGTTTAGAACCGTGAACCTGATGCCCAAGGCAGAATCAAAACGGGTCAGAACCATCGAGCCATCCGGTCCCGAATATAGGGGCTTCATTAAGGAAGCCTAATGAAGCCGGTTCAAATGGAGGCTCCTATATGACGGCTGCGGTGATCCGCAAGAAGAGTGGAGTTGAAATTTGTAGCACGACAGCAAATGTGCCTCTACCCAACTCTCGGTGGGAGTGATCCAGCTTAGTCTTCCGGCTCAGGTTTGGACTTTCCCGGTTTAAGGCAGGGATAGTGGCTTCGGAGGCTGAAACTGCAGGCACCCCAAGAAAACCCTGAAAATTCGCAGCCTGAGACGAAAAGCATGCCAGGGACGCCCTGTTGAAAAAGAGCAGCAGAACCAAGAACATGCACTTCGAAGCACTTCTGCAGAAAGCGCTGTGGGCCTGGGGATACGCAGATTACACTAAACCGTACCTGCCATACAGAAATCACTGTGTCAAAGCCTCCTCAACTCAGCTATCGTCCGAGCTATGTTGTGGTATACTTTTCTTAGGCCCCTCAACAAACACCTTCTTGAACCAAAAGCGGTTGGTAAAGTATCCCATTTGGTTTCATTCTGAAAAGAATTGTCCAGAAAATTCGATAACCTTTAAGTCAGCAACGCCAGCAACTTTCCTCAATCCATATACAGCTGGCTGCTGCCGTCATTGAGGTGCTTTGATTCAGGGGTGTCAGGCTCTCTGACTGCATCAATCAATAGAGGTGGGGATGTTTCACAGGGTCCGGGGTTGAAGGATGACAAGCAGTTTTATCATAATGGCCCTAAACCCTAATGGCCTAAACCCTAAACCTAAACCCTACACCCTAAACCCGAAACCCTAAACCCTAAACCCTAAACCCTAAACCTAAACCCTAAACCCTTAACCCTACACCCTACACCCTAACCCCCAAACCGTTAGATCTGGTATCATGATCTCGTGTATATGCCTGAATGGCAGAGTCCCAAATCGCCGAGACCCGTTGTTGGGGTTTAGGGCTTAGGGGTTTAGGGTTTAAGTCTTAAGGTTTAGGGTTTAGGGCTTAAGGTTTAGGGTTTAGGGCTTCAGGTTTAGGGTTAGGGGTATAGGGTTTAGGATATAGGGGTATAAGGCCCATAGGGTTTAGGGGTATGGGGGTTGGGTTTAGGGGTATAGGGGTGGGGTTTAGGGGTATGGGGGTATAGGGTTTAGGGTTTAGGGCTATAGGGGTGCAGGGGTTAGGGTTGACTAACAACGGGACTAGAAACTATGTAGACACCGACTAACAGCAGTTTGTAAAGCGCAACAGATGAAATCCTCCGCGCAGTGCGTGTCCCGAAGCCCCATCAACACCGCAGAATAACATCCAGCCCTACTAGACTGAATCGACACTTTTTGGGGAACCCAAAACTCCCAATACCATAGTCTCCGTGGCTCGCCCCAAATCTACAGCAAAGACTGTAACCCCTGAAAACGAGGAATGCACAAACAAATTCAAGCCGCACAATAACAACACTACATCTCAATCCACGAAGAGCAGAACACTCGTACAAGCCGAAACAAAAAAAAACAACTCGGCCCGCCTGCTCACTGAAACCCCAAAACGGAAGGAAGGAGAACAACAACAACTCCGCCCCCGTCAACCCTAAACCCCAAAAAGGAAAGAAGAAGAAGAAGAAGAAGAACACATGGGTGGTTGTCAAAAAAAAAGTCCCTTTTTGGGTCCTTATTATAGTACGGCACCTATTATTTAGGGTACCCCAAAAGGGACCATAATTTTGACAACTACCCACATGAAACACGTCAACCCTAAACCCTAAACCCTGAACCCTAAACCCTAAAAAGGGACGAAGAAGAAGAACACATGAAACATGCAGGGACTCCCACCTTCCGTCCCATGGCGACCGCGCGTGCGCTCTTGCGGCAAGCGGCGGCAGTGAAACGTCGAACTCAGGGCTTAGCCGTGGGGTCTTCCTTTCAGGGTTTAGGGTTTAGGGTTTAGGGTTTCAGGGTTTAGGGTTTAGGGTTTAGGGGTTTAGGGTTCAGGGGTTGAAGGGATGGCTAAGCACATTTGAGCCCTTATCCTCCTCAACCCTAAACCCTAGACACAGAAACCCTGAACACTGAACCCCTATACCTGGCTTGGGAGAAGCGGGCTTAGGGTTAGGGCTTAGGGTTTAGGGCTCAAGGGGTTCTTCGTCTTTCAAGGGCTGTTGGTAAAGGAAGGTTTTGTGGAATTTAGGGACTATTGGCTTGGCTTGTAGAGAGGGTTGTGAGGGGTTAGGGTTTCCGGCTTCAACCCTAAAACCAAAACCCTAAACGGGCCCTAAACCCTAAACCCTAACAAGTACAGTACTTAGTTCTTAGATGCTAGTAGCATCTTGCAAGTTGAAGGCCCTGTATATTTTTGGGGGAAGTTGTAAGGAGCTGATAGGTGCCAGGCTTACGGCAGAGCTGTTGCCACGTTCTTGGGAGTTTAGGATCTACCTGGACCCTGAATGACCCACCTTTTAAAGGACTCATGACAAGGATATCATCATAAGGTAAGCCCTAAACCCTACACCCTAGAATGATAGGTTCTTTCGGGTCCAGGTAGCGAGTTTTCGGGATGCAGGCAGGGTGGTTTTGGGGTCTGGCTGTGTCGGGGTATCGAGATTCAAGCAGCCTCAAGTCGCTTCACTAGCATATTTAGCGGGTGTGGGGTTTAGGATTCAGGGTTTAGGGATACTTCTGATATTTCATTCTGTGCCATACTCTAAAAATCGAAACCATAAAACCCGAAACTCAACAACAAATCAACTCAACTTAAACCCTAAACCCTAAACCCTAAACCCTAAACCCTAAACCCTAAACCCTCATTCAACTTGGAGATTTTGTGTCCACTATGACCCCGTGGCTGCCCCTAAACAGGATGGCGCTGTCCGCTCACTGAGCAGACCTCGGCAGTTGGGCCACCATTCGGGCGGATGAATCTAGGGGTTTAGGGGTTCAGGGTTTAGGGGTTTAGGGTTTAGGGGTTTAGGGGTTTAGGGGCTAGGGCTCTAGGGGTTTAGGGTTTAGGGTTTAGGCTAATTACCAATACCCTTTTGGGGTTTGTTGCTTAGTTACAGCATCATGTACCCCCCAAAACCCTTTCCTAATAATGAAGGCTCCTTTTTTGGGGGCTTCCGGAGTCTTTACAGGATCCGAAGAGTGCTCCTGGAAGTTCAGGAGTCCTACTTTGAGGGCCGCTTTTATGGGCTGAGGGCTTAGGTGGTAGGGGTTTGGGGCTTGAGGGTCTCTGGGGCTACTTCAGCACATGCCTGTCGTTCTAGGTCGGGTCGGCGAATGAGGGCCTAGGCTCCTGCAAGGTTTGTAGGGTGCTGCCTGGAGGTTTTCTATAGGGTTTCGTAAGAGGTCCTATAAGGGTCTTATGACGCCGACTATTTCGAATTGATTTTGAAGGCCCCCCCCCCCAAGCAAAAAGGGCACAAGGGCCACTAACGGAGGACCATCAAGGGAGTATTGAACCACACCAATTTACCGTCGCTTATATAAACGACATCCTAGTACGATCCCGTGCGCAAGGATGCAGTTCAGTTGCGCCAGAAACGCAGTTGCGAGTTAAGCGAAACACCAAACCAAAGCCGCTTGCATGCCCATAAGCACCTATCATCAAACCCTAATAGGTATCTGATCTGACCTTGAAGGGCGGGTTGTCAAGGTGTGACTCGGACCCGAGCAGTAGACACCACTTGGAACCACCGTGGAAAGCCTGGTCACCAAAACGAGCATGTATGTATGTGACCGGATATGTATGGGAAGGCAACTGTTTGGGAATGGGGTTCAAGTTGGGTCTCCGGAACACTAAACCCTTAAACCCTTAAGCCCTAAGCCCTAAACCCCAAACCCTAAACCCCTAAACCCTCAAACCCTTAAACCCCTAAACCCTCAACCCCTAAACCCTAAACCCTTAAACCCCAAACCCTAAAACC